ACTGATTAGAGAGGTCATGTGCTGGCAGGGGGAGGGGAGGCACAAGGCCACAGCTCAACTGAGCGACTGAAATAAAAGCTTTAACGCTGAGCCCAGTGCTCAGAGCGCCGGCAGCCAGGAGCTGCGCTGGGACGGGGAGCCCTCGGAGGACTCCAGATTTCGGGGTACAGCAGGAACAGCTCTGGGCTCAGCCACCTTTTAGGATGGAGGGACCCTGGTGACAGATCTGCCAGCACCAGGCTGTCTTCTCCAGGAGAAAAGTCCCAAATTCAAAGGGTAACAGGATTTTTTTGTCCCCACAGGAGAGGTGAGGGCTGTGGAGCTCTGCCCCATGCCAGGTGAGGAGCGCTGATGCCTTCCAAGGGACATGGAGCAGGACAAAAGCTCTGACACCACGGCCCTGAGCAGAATGGGACACCCACAAGTGAAATCCGGGTTATCCAGGATCAACATCCCTCCTGGAAATCGCCGATCCAACGAGAGCAGCGCCACAACACAGCTCCTCCTTCAGCACTGCGCAGCCCCAGGACCCCTCCTCAGCAGTGCCGGGGCCGGAGCCAAGCCCCCGATACTCTCCACAGCCCCCCAGGAAGACAAGCAAAACCAGGAGGATTTCAAAGCTCTGCTCCAATTTAAGCAATTTAACCCCTCAAGTGTTTTCAGCCCCCCCAAAAAAATCCCTGTGGGGCTCTGGCACTCAGCAAGGGGACGTTTAACGATGGCTGAGCGCACACAGGGAAGTGGCACTGCCTGGACCTTGACCCTGCTCGCAGCCGAGCAAAGATCAGCCCCCCCAGGGGGAAAACCCCCCCCAGCCCATGCGGAACGAACCCACCCCCAGGGAAGAGCTTTCCCTCGTGCTCCGGACCCCCTGCATGCTTGGGGACAGACCCCAGGGGACATTTCTCTGGGGACAGTGGGTAAAGGATAAAAAAAGGCAGGGGAGGGGGGGAAAAGGGGGGGGGGGCTCAAGGCTGCGGACACACCTCTTCCAGTTTGTCAATGATCATCGCAAAAGCTTTGAAAATGGCATTGGTGGGGCCAGCGAGGGTGATGATCCGCTCGGGGCAGTTCCCTTCTGAGATGTTAATGCGAGCA